TCTAGGCCTCACAGGGCACCAACTTGGTGCAAATGAAGGTCGCATTATTAGGCGATAATGCTTTTATTATTGGTGACCCGCACACAACCTATTGGTAAGATTCAATTTTCTTTATATCCTTTATGACCCTCACCTATAATTGAGGTTATGGTAATCAAATGGGTAAATATTTAGATAGAAAGTTATAAACCAAAAATGAATATTAAATAGCTCAATTTTTGTGTGACTTTCACACCAAGTACTTTTAGAGGTTTCTAGTCGTGCATGTTTTTGGAGGCGCATCCATTGAAACAAAATTGTTATTTGACGCCCATCTTCAACAATTGCATATCTTGTCAACAACGTCCCAAACACCCCATCAACTGCACACAAGTGTCTGGTTGTCCATTTTCATCTTGGTTGCGGCTGGACAAAACTGCACTCATCCAAGTTGTTGGAAACAAATTTAAGGGATTCTGACCCTGAAGGAAGTCCGCTTGCATATCATCACTTTTTTGCGTGTTCATGGCAGTTCACGACCCCAACTTCGAATCCAACCCCAAGAGTCCACCCCTTGGCAAGTCCAAGGATGGCATTGCACGGGGGCTCCATGCTACGATGTGCCCCATTCGGGCGTCCGTCCGGCGCTCCATGGCCCACACAAAAATATCCCCGCTGCAAGCAGAAGGATCATCGCCGCTGCCCCATTCCAAGAGACAGACCAGCTGCAGATCATGATCAAGAGTTCTTACATATCAAGGCGAGGACGCAGCAATCAACTCCCTGTCAACTGCATATCACACTCCAGCCAGCAACCCCTTTGGGCGGGAATTTCTGTTCCCCTCGACACAAGTTACGACGGCGGCCCCCCCCCCCCCCCCCCCCCCCCCCCCCCCCCCCCCCCCCCCCCCCCCCCCCCCTGCCGTCACGTCACGCTCAGCCCGCTCGTCCAAGCCCCCCTGCCGCCACGCTCCGCCCCATCCAGCTTGGCGATCACACACAGTTGGGGTGGGATCCTTGGCCGCGCAAGGAGGCAAGGACTACCCCATCTACGTTCCCGGCAAGTCCAGCGGAAGCCCGCCAGGATGCGGACCCTGCAGATTGATGAGGACGCCGACCAGCGGCGGCGCCTGCTGCTGGCCGTGCAGGGCCAGCTGCGGCGCGTGCTGTCCGACTCGCCGGCGGAACTGGCGGAGTATGTCGTGGTGCTGCTTTCGCACGGCAAGTCGCAGCGCGAGGTGGGCGAGGCGCTGGCGGAATTCCTGCAGGACGTGGCGCCGCGGTTCGCGGGGTGGCTCTTCGGCCACCTCAAACGGCGCGGGCTCGACTGCTGCCAGGGCAAGCGTGGGATCGAGCCTGAAGGCGGGCTGCCGGCGTCGCTCAGCGGCCGCCTGTCGAGGGTCAAGCGCGACAGGCGCCGGGTCCAGGAGGACGGCGCGGCCGATCTGGACCTGGGCAAACAGGCGATCGCCCAAAGATCGGGGCGATCGGGCGATCAAGGCGATGCGGTTTCCAGGAGGCTGAGAACTGCCCCGGGCAAGCGTGAGGACGATCCCGTTGGGGACGAGTGCGGCGGGCGGGCCGGGGAGGATGCGCCCACCTCGAAGAAGAGCAGGCGGGAGGGCTCGCCGGGCAGGTGGGCCGGCCGGGGCACGGAGCCGCCCAGCCGGATCGCCGCGGTGGCTCTGAAATCGCTGCTGGGGGTACGCGGGGAGGAGAAGCGGGCCAGGCGCAAGGCGAGGGCCAAGAGCAACCCCAAGGGAGCCAAGGAGAGGCGCGAGGGGTGTGAAGGAGCCCTTGATGTGTTCCAGAGGCTGGGGAATGGGGAAGGGGGGGCCATGCCGCCCGGGAATGGCTCTGGATCTGGTCGGACCAGCGTGTTCAAGCGGCTGGAGGGCAAGGCGGCCGGGGTGAACATGCAGGTGCGGATGGACAACCGCACGCACCAGGGCGGCCAGTCCACGACGTTCATGGTCACGGTGAACAACTCGGCCCAGGTGGCGGCCCCGAGCGGGGGCAGCTTCGAGCAGAAGACCAGCGAGTCGCGGTCGCGGTCGCAGTCACCAATCGCAAAGGCGCGACGGTGCGGCAAGCCGCTTGAATCCGTGGTGGAGCCGGCCAGGCGGAGCGAATCGCCGCCGGCGGAGAAGGAGGAGGCGGCCGAACAGGGGGAGGCCGCCAGGATGGAGGAGCTGGCGAGGCTGCGGCTGAAGCTGGGGCAGATGGAAGAGGACATCGCCAATCTGCGCGCCAAGGGGCGGATGCTGGAAAGGCACGAGGGCGCCGGGGACAAGGGGAGCCAGCCGTCGTCGACCGCGAAGCAGCCGAGGTCGCCCACGTCGGTGATGGCGGACGTCGACCGCCGGTGCGTGGTGGTGCAGAACGTGCACTTCCACGCCGCCAAGGAGGTGCTGGCCGCCCACTTCGGACAGTGCGGCCGGGTGGCCGACGTCACCTTCGTGCTCAACGCCTTCGGCTTCTCCAAGGGCTACGCCTTCGTGGAGTTTCAGGACCCCGGGTCCGTGGAGAAGGCCCTGGCGCTGTCCGGCTCGCTGCTGATGCACAGGGTGGTCAAGGTGATACGCAAGGAGACAAGGCTGCCAGGGAGCGGCGCGTCCAAGCCCTCGGAGCAGCCAGCCCCCTCCCCGTTCCATCCAGCCGCGGTCCCGGGGCAAGGGTGGAAGGCGCCCTTCAGGCGAGCAAGTGGGGGCCACGTGCCTGCCCGGACGTCATTTGCACGAAGCCAGAAGGCGAACTTCAGGTATGTTCGGGGGGGATCGGACCCCTTTCCGGCCACGGCGCTCCCGGGCCCGGCCGCTGTCTCCGTCAGCTGCACCCAGGGCGGGAAGGCGGACGGCAGCAATCCAACGGCGGCGGCTGCCGAGAGCGACAGCGGGGCTTGCACGCCGGGCTCGCTGGACCTGGAGATCATGTGCCCGCCTGAGAGGAACGCCCTGGGAAACAGCACGGGGTCGGTGCTCGTGGAGGAGTTGGGGAGGTATTGAGGGGCGTCTTGCGGATGTGTGGCTGCCTGAAGCTCCTTGGACTACGCACGCTGGAGAGCCATTCGATCATGCGTGACACAACTAAACAAAGGAAGAAAGGAAAAGAAAACAGAGAACACCAAAACGAGCACGGTGGCTTTTTTATGCCACAAAAATAGATTATCGAATGTGCGCTGTGCAATGTTGCACGCAATCGCAGGAAGCCCATTGCCGACGGAGTTCGAGTTCCCTTGAGAAATGGTAGGAAATACTGAGGGGCAAGACACTGCAGAAAAAGGGGACGATGCGGAACGAAGAGAATGAAAATCAGTCATGGCAGCACCACTCCTAAAGACTTCAAACAACAGGAGTGTCAGCCAGAAGATATTGTGAAGATGTCAAGCCTTGTCAGTGCAGATTTTTCGCCAAGGGACACTCCGGACTACCTCTGGGCCTTATGTGCTTCAGAATTGTGCGGATTCTTGAGTTTTCCGGACTGTGGGGTGTACTTGAGGCGTTCAGATGTTTCGACCGACTGCAGACTTGGCAGGTGCTGTGATTGCATCGAAGTGCAGATGGTCCCCCTTCGAGGCGGGATAAGCCACAAGCTGTGACAAGACGTTTTGCAGGTTTGCAGGGTTCTGCATGGATGGCCCACAATACACGAGCGACCATTGGTCCACCACCCCCAAGACAGCCATGAGTGGGGATGATGGGAAATGCGCTGGGGCCCAGCAGGCAAGCAGTTCTCACGAAAATGAGTCCCTATGGAATTCCAATGAACACAACTCGCACAGCAGCAAATCAGATCAGATAATCTATTGGTCGTTTGGCTGGCACATCTGCGGACAAACAACGTACAGCGGGGCTGAGACCCTGATCTAATGCAGTGCACCCCAGGCTTGATACATGGCAGCAGTTGCATTGCAAGATATACCCAAGGCCGAAGCGAGCGAGTCAGCAGCGCCTCTCCTCCACCGACATCGTCATCATAGCATGCATCCACGCTGGGATACATTCACCGATTCACCAGGTCAAATGGAAACGTGTATAATACAACACTCTTGGCACAAACTTCTATTGGCACGAGGTGGGACACCGGTTGCTGCTCAAGTGGCGTCAGTGTTGTGCAGGGCTGTGTTCCGAAGCTTGCCTCGACGTTCTCAACTGGTGCTTGCTTGCACCCTGCGATATGGGTGATGGCGGCCATGGTTGCCTTGACCATTTTCGCCACATCCCAAAACAGGCTTTGACCTCCTTGAAGATCGGAACTACTGGAGCAGTGGTTTTCGCCGCCAAAATCGCACCATCTCAGCGAGACGCACAACAGCCCTGGTGCTGGTCGTGCGCCAAAGCTCTCACCCTTCGGAGGTCACGACTGTTTGGATTGGGTATGAAGCACGGGAAACAGCTATGTTACTGAGGTTTCGAGAATCGGGAATGTCTGACTGCGAATTGTAAGAGGGGCAACGCCCCCCTTTCCATACGCAGAACATCGGGACGATTGAATCCGGCACCGGCGCCAAGGGAGTGGCTCCACAGGCACCGACGCTGACAACAATGCGCTTTCGCTGCAGCGCTGTACACCACCGTAATTATAACGCGCTGGAGCAAATTGTCGCACACTGCATCACCGATGGCGCAGGCAAGAAAACAACGCACATGGCCACGCACTGCGGAAGCTTCACAATCTTCGCAGCCTTACACGCGGGCGCAGATGCCCAATGTTGTACAACAAACTCCATGGTCTGGCGGGATCAGCTCCGCTGCGAGCCCTTCCCCCCCATCGAACGGGCCATCTGTCGTGATACACGCCAAAAGGCGGGCCCCAATGCGACACCCAACACGAACCCAATCCCCCCCTTGGCGTCCTTTGGCGCGACATGTCCGACAGACGCCATGCCCACACCGCGGGGCGCACTTCCAGCACCAGCCCCTTTCCCCAGACCCCGGACGCCAGGCGGGTGCTTCGGAACACCCAAGACTAGCAGCAAGCCATTCCACCCCATTGACGGCCGCGGACTAGAGCGGGTGGTTTCAGGTCACGGTCACCACGCCGACCGCGCGCCTAGGGTCGGCGCCCGTGTCGGCGCTGGTGTCGTAATTGGTGCTGTGCATGTTCTTGCCCATGCACAGGGCGGTAAAGAAGCTCATGCCGCCCTTGACGTCCCAGGACGCCGTCTGGGTGCCCTTGCAGCCAGTGAGGCTCCCGAAGGACCACGCGTCCGCGCTGATGTCGAACTCGGAGGAGAAGTCGCCCTTGCACGTGGCCGACTTGGGCGTCGGGTACCAGCTGCCCTTGCAGAGCGTCTTGGTCACGCCGCCCTCCTCCCCCGTGCAGTCCTCCACGGCCGACCAGTCGCCGACGCAGGAGTCAGCGTAGGTCGTGGCCTCCCCGTTGCAGGTGACGTCCGTCTTGCACTTGGAATCGGACAGAGAGGCCGGATGCGCGAACAGTGGCCGGGCGGCACCCTCCTCGGCCGGAAGGGCCGAGTCTGGGGGCGTGTTGGCGGTGAACGCCTCGTCCATGAGCGCGTCCGCGGTCTCCTCCAGTCCCGACGCCACCAGGCCGGCGTCTGCGGCACGAGCGTCAGGAATGTTGCAGCATTCGCCACAGGCCAGCGGGACAATGCAATGCGTCTGTCTTCAGCACCGGCATCATCGTTCGTTGTTGGTCAAGTTTGTTCACATATTTGATGCACGCTTGCGCACATGTGCATCGCGTCCCGCGTTGTGCTTACGGCGGTTTTGCTGCTCTGGCCCTGTTTCTTCACCTTGCCACTCAATTTCGGACAGCAGCATCAAAGCGCCGTGCGTTCGGGGCAAGCGACGTTAAACTGCGCCTCATTTGATTCGGATTGTGAAGGAAGGCTTTGGGCCACATTGCCCAGCGTTTGTCGATTCTCGACGGATGCCATTAACGAGGAACTCACTGCGTCCGGAGGATGAACCCACTGAGCGATAGCAGGTGTGGGTTCACCGGGGGAACCGGCACTAAAAAGATTTACCCTGCGCGCATGGCCCAGGGGCAGACAACTCGGGAAATCTAACAAACAATCGCAGCTGTCTGGACGACTGAATTTCGGCACGTCGAGAGCAAGAACCCACTCACTCGTTGGTTCATTGCAGCCCTCGGCAATTTTTCGCTCGACGGTCCCAATTTACCTTTCGGACCAGCCGACGATGTGATCTCCAGTACGTGGGCCAGGTATTTGCAGTCCTGGAACGTCTCCCCCCTCTTCTTGGCGTCCTCGGCGCCTTCCGTGGAAGTGTAGGTGAAGTCGTATGCGCAGCGGTACTGCATAAGGGAGCCGCTGGTGGCCGAAGCAGAGGTGTTGATCGTCTTCTCTGAGAATCTGAGCACGCCGGTGCACGCCACGTCCACGGTGCCGTCGGCCAGGCTCCCGAAGGCCCCAACGTTCACGGTGATCTTGCCGAAGCAATCCGTGGTTTTTGTGACGGACACATTGCCGTGTGGGAGCGACTTGTTACACTCGGCCTTGTACTGCAAGGAATGCGACCCAGCGGTCAGTGATGAAAACAACGGAGCCAACAATGCAGTCAACACAGCAATATTTCGTCCGTTTTGTCGCGGTTCGCACAATTAATAGGCGGACATAGGAATCAGAGGAGACTTGATTTGGGAAGCACAACTGCGCAAACAATGGGCTGGTTTGATCAGGGCGAGTCTGCAAACGTCGGAATGGGTTGAATTCGATGGCTGATCGCTCCTGCACTTTCCGGTCGCTTCCTTCGGCAGGAGGGTGAAGTCCACCGATAATCGCAAGTTGTGTCAAAAGCACGCTGTTAGAGTCGGGGCCAGCTGCACGGCGTTCCCTTGGCGCCCATGGGCAGAATACGTTCGTCCTGGGCAAGGCTGTAAGCACAATTAGTCGTCGTGCAGGCAGCATCTGGCAACTGTGCGGCGAATCGATTTCTGCGGGGACACACATAAGTCGTGGCACTTTTCCAGTACGCTGCCCTGTGAGCAAACACATGGAGCGCGCTGTGATACGATGCGCGCAGTGCACAGCTTCAGAGTCGGCCGTGCCGTTTCGCGGCTGTGTTCTCAGCTTCACTCTGCCCAGGCTGACTGCGCAGGTTCCACATCAGGCGCATAGTACAGCGATGCTGCAGCACGCTTTCACGGACCATCAGCGGCCAACCCGGCGAGTTTGCAGCCCAGCAGAAAATGCCGACTCACTTGCGTAAACCCCAGTCATCCGGCGCGGGGCAAGCCCCGCCACACACCAAACTACCAGCGTGTGGACACAACGTTGTGGGAATGTGGTCAGGCGGCCGCCGTAACCAAATCGCCGGCCAGCCGCAACCAAATCGCCGGGCAACCGCAGTTTCGCAGCTGCGCATTCCAGCATTTCGCTGCAGCGCACCCCATGCCAATGTACTGCGACCCCCACGCATTGCAGCAGGGCCCCTTGCTGTGAGCGCACAATTTCGCGTTACGTGACCACCCCGTCAGCCCTCAGTCGGACGCGGCGGGCACCACGCCCGAGGGCAGCCTCGCCGCGACGGGTGGAGCACCCACCTGGAACACGCCCCTGCAAGAGTCTCCTTCGAACGGAGCGCCGTTGCAAGTTGCAGTCCCGTTGCCGCCCTCCACCTCCGGCTTGAACATCCGCGACCGCGCCTCCAGCCACCGGCTCGCGGCGTCACGCTCCGGATGCACGTGAATGCGCGATGCCGAGACGGCTGGGACGCGCGGGGAGGATCTGGCGTCGGCTGGAGGCGGCGAAGTGGACGGGAAGCGTCAGAGGGAGGAGAGCCGAAAGGGCGGCAGGAAGGGGCGCGGACAGCAGGCGGAATGGGGGGCCGATCGCGCCGGGATCCGGTCGAGTCGAAGCCGGTCGTAATCTGCGGATTCTAGATGCGGGTGCGGAATCGAGCAATCCAGGGGCTGGGCGCCGGCGGAGAGCGCGCTGGGTGGGAGAGGGGGGATCGCAACCGCGCCTGAGGGTCGGGTTGGGGGGGAAATTCAACAAGACACAGCGCGGCGAACAGATGGCCCGGGTGGATCGCCCCCACAAAAAAATGCAAGTCGGTGCCCGCTCAAATTCCTGCCAATCCCCGGCGATGGACGGCCTCCGTGCTCGCCGGGGGCTTTCGTCCGTGCGTCTTGTTACGGAGGCCGAGCGGAGGGCCCCTTACCCGCCGCGCAGACGAGCAGCGCGAGTATCGTCCAGAGGCAGGCGCGCGCCATGGCGTCCGCGGGCTGTGTGGTGCGAAGGCTGGTGGGTGTCTGGCGGGTGCGGCAGCGGGCGGCGGGCTGCACCGGGAATGGCACCTTGTGCAGTGGGGGGCCGGCTGGATCGTGTTGGACTGCGGTCAGCAGTTAGTGGATCGTTCTGGAACTTTGAATGGTCGCCGGATCGTTGATGGGTTGGGGTTCGGTTCGACAACTGGCCCCGGCGCTGGAACGTTCCGGACCGGTATTGCACAGTACAGGAAAATTTGCCTGTCCGGGTCGGCAATAAATGGGACCAATCTAGCATAATGATTGGCAGCCAATTTGTCCACGTACCATCACTAAGCTGAAGCCCCATGAGGCCCAGAATGTGGTCCAGAATTCAGCGGATAGACTATGGCGGACTGGGGTGCAGCATTGAGGATCAGATCATCAACAGCAAGGAACATTGAACATCATCAACGACCGTATAAGCCACGCCTGGAGCAGCGCAATGTACACGCAGCTGTGGGCGTGCACGACGTCAGTGCATTGAACTCAGACTACGGTTGCGACTCAAGGTTACGATACCCAGCTCGTCCATCGGAAAATGAGCTAAGATGCCAGGATGCTGCATGTTTGGTTCCTCATGGGTAGCTGCGAGGAAGGCCGTCTGAATTGGCAGGGGTTTCAAAGTCAGAATGATGCAAAACGGTTGAAGATGGGTTGCGTTAACGTGTGATGTCGGTTTTTTTTCTAGTTTAGGATTTGATGGTTCTTCCAGTGGCACTTGACAGCCAGGACGGCGATATGGCCCTTTTGCTGAATGAATATTAGAGGTGGTATCTGTTTTGCCATGTGCTGACATGGATAGAATGGTCATGAGTGCGCTGGTTGAGTGGCATATTCACTTGAATTGCCGTGATGGCAGCTGTGTGAAGTGCGGCAGATTTTTATTTGAATCTGATGGCCGAAAGGTAGAGGGCTGCAGTGGCATTTATTTCTGTAGCCTGGGCCGCGTGTTGTGTGCCGTTGATGCAATCCTTGCATGAGGATTAATTGAGCGGCTGGTAACAGCTTACAAATATGGGAACCACGTTCGGTGGCAGGACGGGCTGGGAGGGAATCATATGTGATGCGATTCTTTAAGGATCAAAATAGATTTGATGTGCTGACATGCACGAGGTTTCGAAGTTTCGAGGGGCTATTTTGGGTGGCTGCCGCGACATGTGCGGCTACAAAGGTCGCGCTGCCCGTTGGAGGGGATGCAACGGAGCGGACACGAGTTTGTGAAGTTATTGGCGCCTTGCTGGTGTTCTCTGAGTGCGTGGCACTTGCACACAGGTCGCGGCGTGTAGCCCGACCAGTTTGGCTTCAAAGCCAGCGGTTTTCGATCCCAAACGTTCGGGTTTCGGCGTGACGCACTCAGGGCATGCTCATCTTTCGGGCTGGTTGTGTTTCTGGGTGAAACTGTGAGAATCGTTGCAGTTTCTGTCAGCGTTTCTGTCCAGGTCCTTTCGGATTGCATGCGTCTGGATATGCGCGGCCAGTGGGCAGGCTCGGCCCGTGTTTCTGTGGCCGATTTGCCAGCGACATGCATGCAAAGCGACCCAATCTCGCCGCCTTTTGCCGCTGTCTTCAACCGCTCAGGGGCAAGGGACGGGTGAATCTTTTACAGATTTTCACTGTGCTACGCGGAGGGTCTGGCCATGTTTTGGCCACCATGTTTACATGCCTTCATGTGCAAGACTTCCCGGTGAAGAGAGGGAAATTTGCAGGTGGAACAAGCATGCCTATCCATATGCCCATATCGACTTGTGGCGAGTGTTTGGTTCTGCGTGGTCGCGCGTTTGGTTTGTGTGCAACCAGAGAACTTGACTTTGGTCGATCCGGATGAAGCAAGCGTAGCCCAAATTTCGATGCTACCGATGGTTGGTTATTGCAAGTCAAATGTATCATGTTTGCTCATTTTTTGACTCTATCGACACTGATTGTCAATGGTATCAAAGACTCTCTCTGAGCGTTTTCTGTCTATGTGAGCAATAAGCTTCGACCTCAATAGGTACATGCAGCGCTGCGGAACGCCACCTTGGACGGCGGCAGTTTTCTTATACGCAAATTCGGTGACTGTGACAGCCTTTTCAGTAGCCTTGCATCCGGTCCTCGGTCCCCTTCCAGATTGCAGTCCAATTTCATGCAGACACGCAATCTTGACGAGTGGCTGCTGATCTGGAATGAGTGATTATTGTGGGGCGCATTTTGTTGCCCAATTGTTTCAATCAAGTACGCGCAGCCTCCATGTTGTGAAATCAATGTGGTTCAGTTGCCTTATGCCTTTTGCGCCGATGCTGCAGGCGATCTGAGTGTTGAGGGGCAGTCTACACAACGAGCAGCGCTCGCCCTGCTTTGACCAAACATGCCGATGTCGGCAAACGCTGCATTGATCCATGCTTCACACTGTGCAGCGTTTCTCAATCGAGCAACGAGAATTGTTCCAAGAACGCTTGGACTCTCTTCCGCAATGCATTTGTTGAGGCTGCCTATTCCTTACACGGCTTGTGCGTCGGCAAAGCTACCGCATTCTGCCCACAAGCTTCCCCAGGTGCTGGCAAACGTCCGGCAGCAATGCAGAATCACTATAAGGCACTGATGCCACAGCCGAGACTCTCCTACCATCGTGACAGCAATGCCCGCCTTCTGTGTTTGACCGCTTGAAGTCCATTCCAGAATGACGTGGAACTTGTCACCAGTCATTGACTACATGTCGGCTGGATCTGGTGAACTGATGGCCTGTGTGCCAGAATGGCCTAATTCACACGGCACGGAGTGCAGCATTGGAGTAAGTTTACCCAGGCCAAAGCAATTCGTGCAAATTGTTGCGAACGTCCATTAGTATACTGATATTTTTGTCTGTTGTTCAACTAATTGTTGATGTGCAATGCTTTTCCAATAGTTCCGCATGTAACTGCATCACACATGTTGGAAAATGGCCACGAAAAACGCGGCTCTCGTTGCACAGTTTCGTCCCCATCCAGTGCGGGGCACATGCTGGCGAACAATTTCAGCGATTGAACACGGTTCCAACACTGACAAGCGATGTGCGACTGGGTAAAGCCCCCACTGGCAGGGCGAACACCAGAAACGAAGTCCAACACAGGCGGTGGACATTCGCATTTACTCCACATAACGCTCGTTACATCCCAGACGCTTGGTCACACAAGCTCATGCATTATTCTCCCCGGCACACATCCATTCCTGGACCCAATGGGCACCCTGATAGGGCACCCAAAACCTCCCACGTTCACACCACAACACCCACACAAGCCCTTTCCCCTGCAGCCCTACGAGTCGGGGCATATGCGTCAGTAAACCAGGCTGCCTGCAAGAGACCGCATTTCAGACACGAAGTGCCCGTCGCTCCAAGTTATTGGGGATCTCTGGCAACAACGCACAGAGCCCTCGTGCCTGTCAATGTCTTAGCTAGAGTTGAGATAATTTCAAACTTGTCCCTGCTGGGCGGTCAAGGGGTGTGGAAGCTAAGCCCCTGCACCCGAGCCACCATCCCAGCGCAAATAACCACCCCTGGAGCATCAAATTCAATGCACAACTCACACTTATCCACGGATGTAAACGCCAGGATAGCCCTGGACATAAATCAGCTCTTATTCACCGCAGATTCTGTCGCATCATTCATGTAGCTATACAGCTCATCGACCTCTGCAATGCCGCTTTTGATTCAACCGTCTCCCGATCTGATAACCCTCCTGCAGTGCCCGCCTCAGAGGCCTCAATAGCCGTGTAACTGCCAATAAGAATTTCTATGTCGCGTAGATAATCAATTGTAAGTTCTTTCAAAGCACATTCAAATCAGAAGCAGAGGGTGGCCGTCTCTTATCCATTAATTTGTGCGCCTGGTGCCTGCACAGCCCGCCAAAATTACGCGACACCGATCTACTGTGCCCTGCAGGAACCAAAGCCACTGAAACAGCCTAGCTCGTCAATCACAGTCTTCTCCCCCATCCCTCCTCACTCGTTGGGGCGCAAAGATGTTGATGCGCGTTGCGTCCAGCCCCTCCGTTGCACGTGACCTAAACCAACAACAGAGATGCAAAATCCCACAGAATAAACCCCAATGAAATAACCAATTCCCCAAAATGGGAGCGTTTGTTTGCTCCTCCGCGCTGCAAGCTAACGCGCACGCTTTCCCCCTTATTCAATCGAAACCCCGCTGGCCCCACCAAGCCGCTCCGCCGCTGCCAGGTTCCAAGTCGACATCCACACCGCACATACACACGCACAACCATCACCAATCAACATCCGTCCAGCCGTCGCCCCGTCCCAAACCGATGCATCTCCTGCCGAGCCCGCTCGCGTCCCCGCCTGCGCCTCAGGGCCAACGCAACGCCAACCCTCCTTTCGTTCAAACGCCCAGTTGGTATAACGCTCCGTCGACAAAGCCACTGCAGCCCCACCCATCCGCCCATCGATGCGTGAGCGCTCCGATCTGTCCCGGGGCCTCCCACCCGTATCTCCCCAACACGTCGGGAGGAGAAGAGGGGATGATGCCCCGATTGCATGCAATTCGCGAATCTCGCCCACCCATCAACCGCCAATCCCATCCGCCAACACCCAGACCTCCAAAAGCCCAAGCCCTTGACCGTTGTTTGTGCGTCGCGAAAGTGTCACGAACTTGCCGCGAACGTGCGGCGAACGTACGGCGAACATGACGCGCATGCATTCCCCAGGCGGGGGCGCGCCCCACGCAGGCGCCTCAGATGGAGATGGCCCGGTCCCTTAGGCCGCCGGGCAGGTCGAACAGCTCCTCGTCTGCCACGCCGGCCTGCTCCCTGCCGGCCCTCTCGCGCGGCGGCGTCCAGCGCAGCAGCTCGTCCCCGGGCGTTCCCACCGCGGCGGCCATCGCCGCAATCGCCGCCAGCTCCGCATCGTCCTCGAGCCCCGCCTTGGCCCCCTTCACCCCCTCGCCCTCATCCTGCCTCTTCTCCATCTCCTCCCTGCCGCGCGCGATCGTCTGAGCGTGCTCCAGGAACAGGGGGCCGTTGACCCACTTGTGGGCGAAGGCGTCCGCCAGGCCGAGCCGCTTGGAGGGGTCCATGGCCAGCAGGCCGTCCATGAGGTCGCGACAGTCCGGGGACAGCTTGCGCGTGCCCCACGTCTCGGACCGCAGGCGCTTCAGGTCGGAGCTGTGCGCCTTGACCATGTTGCGCAGCAGGAAGCGGAAGTCGGAGCGCTGGAAGTCTCGCGGGCCGGCGGCTCCGGCGGAGATGTTGCCCTGGCTGCGGGTGAGGCGCCCGGCGCCGCGGGAGAGGGCCGGACCGCCGAAGGGCTTCTGAGCGCCGAAGGGAAACCTGCGGGGGCGGGATTTTAGTATGACTTTAGGAGTTGCTACTTTGCGAGAGAAAAGCAGGTTGTACAACGCCCCCCCCACCCCCCACCCTCCCGGTTAGGCAGGTGCATACGAGACCTGCGGGGGGTCGATGCGGCAGTGTCGGGCGAGGAACGGGCGGCAACGAGAAGTCTGCAATCATGGCACAGCTGTTGTGACACGATGCAATGGGCGCCTTTGGAACTGGAGTGGCTTCCCCGAGCTCGAGAGCGCCTTCAAGAAGCAGTGACATCCTGGGCCATCCAACGGAGGACGTGCTGGTTGTGCCCAACGCCCACTGGGAAAGCATTCAAGAAGCAGTGACATCCTGGGCCATCCCACGGAGGACGTGCTGGTTGTGCCCAACGCCCACTGGGAAAGCCTTCTACACAATGGCTCTATTGCTGACACCACTTTGGAAATGTCAACTTTTCAAGCACAGCATCGCGCACCTCGCCTGCATGGTGCAAGAGTCATGTCTTGTTTCTCAAAGGCAAATTTAAAGAAAGGACTGTGGCATTTCTGCCATCCCACCTTCCAAGGAGCATGGTGAACAGCAGGACCCCCAGGCTCCACATGTCTGACTTCACTGGATCGTGTTGGGTATGGGCGCGACGCACGACGTTCTTCAACACTTCAGGCGGCATATACATCGGCGTGCCCGCCTACAACAGAAGAAACACACCTTCCATCGGGTCCAACAAAGAATGCTTTGGTGGTTGATCAACAGTGGCGCAAAGGCCAGCAGCACAGGAGAGCAAACAATGCAGGCTGCATAGAGACCATGGATGCAATGATTGATGCAATGACTGCCTTGATACAGAGAGAGTTTGTCCTGCACTTGTCAGCCCATACTGTACATTGAAACTGAGCAAACCTCCCAGGTTCATTCCACATTGCAAAACATGATGCAGAGATCTCCAATTGCAGCTGGAAACTTATGCGATGGACTGGCCAAGCCAGCCTGGTGTCGCTAGGGATGCAAGTCCGGTCACCAGCTGGGTGGGAAACATTTGTGCAAGCAACACAAGCCGCTTGCTCCACAGAAAAATATGACAGTGAACTAACGTGTTCTTCCACATATTGTGGAGCTACACAGTGGCTAAAACGGCATGCTGCAATCTAAAACTGTCAATGCATAAACTAATATGTTGTATGGAGACATCCATCAACAGACAAAAGGGAATGTCACAGCACTGGATAAGGATAAAGAGAAGAACCCCAGCTCCAACATCACGTTTGTGCGTCCATGTCCCTGGCAAAGTACTTGTGGTTGCGATGCCTAATTTTGTGTGCAAGAGAGTGGGTACTCACCGGGGGGCAACACCTGGAGTCCCCAGTGAATAATTCCCTTGAAAGACCAAAATCGCAAACCTGCATTGGCAGCAAACAATGCCACTGAGAAGGTAAGGAAGGGACATGACACAAAGCCGCGCATGAGAATGCAATGAAGCAATACAAGCAAACACGCAGACATGTGCCAGTGATTTTCTGCGACGCATAGTTGCGGCTCAGTCGACAAGTCATCCTGCAAAAGCAACCCTGTACTGGAGATATGCTGAACAATTGCAGCATCCAAAAGGTTTGCCTGATACCAAGAACATTTAAAGTTCTCAAAAGCAAGCTGCTGTCAGCCTGGTCACACTTGGCGGTTAAGTCAACACAGCCATTCAGCACCAGAGACAGCACTGGCCAGTACCTTGACTCTTGGGCACTTGCCGCTATCGAGGAGCACATTCGACAGTTTGATGTCTCGATGCACGATGCCCCGTTCATGGCAGTGGGCAACGGCATCCAGCATCTGCATGAACAGAAAGCGTGCATGCTCCTCTGACAGCTGCTGGCTGGAGGACTGGGCGTGCTGCCTCGCGATGTAATCTGCAGCATTGCGCAAGTTTCATTAGGGCAACGGTGGGCATCGCTTAACAGTCCCCAAGGGGAGGTGAGTGAATGCCTGTGTCGTTGTGTGTGATGCGGGCAACATCACACAGGTCATGCTTTATGTCTCTGCTGCACACAGTTCCCCAAACAGTGCCAGGTCTTGCAGAAGTCTGCAAGGAGCTTACAGTGCTTGGCAAAGTCGCAACATAGTAGTCGCCAGCTAAGGTGGTTGACGAACTCTTCCTGCTGTGAAGGTGAGCTGGAAATCCTCGGCTGCAAACCAATTTCTGACTGTATGCATGCACGCACTTCATGGACTTTTGATGCCTAGGCAGCAGTGTTCGGAATCTTGATCTACTGGCTCTGTGCACACTAGGTCGCCACCCTACTGTGCACTAAATCGCACAACCACAGCTGCCAGGTCTGGCTGTTGATGTTACCCACAGTTTGGAGGTGAGACAAAAAAAACTGCACGAAGAGTGTCACCTCAATGCCAGTGGCTGCAACTGAGGAGGGTGGATTGTGACGTCCACCTGAATTTCCATTGCCAGCCCTTGCAACTCCATCACTTGGGCAATAGTTTCATCTTTGATGATCATATGCACATGTGGAAGATCAGCCATCACTCTGAACACAGTTTATCCGCCAAAATAGGGATTGCATCCCGCCACTTGTTTACCCTGACATTCTCGTCAGCGTCAAGTTCGCACACAGATTCTTCCCGCTGCTAGCCGAGAAATCCCTCAAGTTCATCGCGTTACAACCTTCTCCTCCCCCTCCCCCAGCTAAACATTAAACACGGTCCAACACAGTCCAATGGCAAACTGGCATAATGAAAACACAGTCCAACGGCAACTCCGGCTACCGCGCGACAGTCGACGGCGGGACCTGCGGCCCAACCGCGTGCCACCCACCCGACAACTCCCCTCCTTGCGCGTATTCCAGCTTGATTATCACGTGGCTGTGCGTCAAGATCACCTCCAGGAGCCGAATAATGTTCACGTGACTGAGGGCGCTGCATTCAAAAACGCACACAACATTGTCTTACGCCACGCACTCCTGCCGATCGGCGCGCCGGCCGTCACGCAGGGGACAGAAATCGCGTCCCAATTCTTCGACCACTGGGCGGATCAGCGCATTTCGGCAACCGGGCCCCGAGCTTGCAACGACGTTAGCGGCCGTGGGTGGTTTCTCGCTGCTCCCATGGACGCCGAGGTTCCAGCTCTCCAGCGATGTCGCGACGCAAAAACTCCCGCCGACTTGCGTGCAGCCGCCGAGTTCACCTCCGCGCGGGACTCGTCGTGCGGCGGCCAACCGAGCGGCGATTTTCGCTCCCCATTCGGGCCACTATGGGCAATCGGCCGCGCAAACGTCGGTACAGAAGACCTCGAAAACTGAGAGCGGCCCCGCCGACCAAGGGAACGCCCCCTCAAAGATCTCCCCTCCTCCAAAACACTTCCGGGCGCCCGGCGGCGGCCAAGGCAGCGTCCCTCCCTTCGGCCCCCCGTTCACGCCTCGAAACCCCCTCCCCCGCCCCCGACGTCCGCATTCTCCGCAAATCCACCCACCATTGATTCTTGATCCCCTGCAGGAGGTAGCCGACGTCAAGCCCTGCCCCGCGCGGTGCCACCTTTGCCGCGAACAGCTCCGACCTGCGCACGACCACGCCGCCGATGTCAGGCCCCGCCCGCCATCCCGCCCGCCATTCTCGCCAACCTTTCAATCCTCGTGAGCCGCGAGAGGGCAGCCCGCCCAAATCGCCCAAACACGCGCGCGCGCGCGCACCTGCCGTTGCCCAGCCTCTCCCGCACGAGGTACGTCCGCCCCTCCCCGCCCGCCCCCAGCTCCTTGAACACCGTGAAGTTGCGCGGCAGCCCGAGCTCGGCCGCTCGCGGCACCTCCCCCGCCTCGGCGCTGAGGCAGATCCCCATTGCGCCCCTTTCCGCCACCCGACGGCAAAATTAACGGCCGCCGAAAATCGACACCGGCGGTCCCTTGCCCGTTTTTCCGCCCTTCCTGGCCCCCTGCTCCCTCCCGGCGCCTTGGTAGGACCCTCGGGCCTCGCTCTCTTCTCCCGATGGAGTCCGGAGAGCCGCTTGGGGTCGGCAGGCGAGCAAGTAGGCCGCCGGGCTGACGACATTTTTTTTTCCTTCTGTACTGCCATACCAATGAAAGCCACGCCCTTGATATCATCGGCTTCGACTTGGCCCAACGTACGGCGTAATGCGCCTTTTGGACAACCGTCCACTGTACTTGGCTGTTGGCGAAGTGTGGGCGGAGCGGGGTTTACGTACAGGCCTGGAGTGCGGCACGTACGCGGGCGAGGGGCGTAAGTACAACGCGGGACCACGGGCACTGTCTGTAGTCCGACGGGGAACCTGGGCACTACCAGGGAGTGCTGGCGCGATTACGCCAGTGCCGCGGCCGAGTGTTACTTAAGCGGGGGCCATCACCGCCGGCTTGCAGCCCAAGCACCTTGGTTAGCAGCCCGCCGCTTGGTAGCAATGGGGCCATCGATGTCACGATGTCGTCGATGGCACCGTCCCATGGTCAGGCCTGCTGTGAGTTCTGCGCCGCACATTTTCCTTGCCACCCCCCCCTCGGGCGGCCGTCCTCAGGGACGGTCGCCGGGCCCAACTCGCCCTGTGCGTGCCCAGGCGTCGGTACGGATCTGGCACAGTTCAGGGCCTCGGTACACGTGCGTCTGCGGGCCACCGGGTGCAAGTTTTTTTTGCGTTGCATGTTGGAAGTTCCAACTTAAAACGGTGCTGTGTGTTCTAGCCCCGACTTTGGATTATTTTGCATCAACTGTCACGGTGCGGCACAGATTCCGCCATCTCCTGATGAAGGGTGTGCCCATCACGCCGCATGCTGCTCTTTCCTGCTGTGGCTGGTCTTCGTTGGACTGCTGTTAGCAGCGTGGAAGTCACATCTCACCGTCGGGGTCCTACGCATTTGTGAATGAGCCATTGTCCCGTCACAGTGCCGGATGCATAACAAGAATGGGACACATCAGCGGGTGGAAAGGACAGTAGCGGGGCAAAAAGCACGGCGACATATTTTTACCAAGCAGTTTCACAGACGACCGTCCTTGGGAAAGACATGGAGCACCCGCAACCTTGGGCCAAATTGACAATGTTGGTCAACATTTTGTTCAAAGGGCAACAGAGGGGTCTCTACCTGGGTGCCAGCAACGCGATCGACAGAACTCACAACTGCTGTGAACTGAAGGACAGTACGTATTGGTCATATGCCCTTTCCAGCAGTCCGATGTGCGCACTAGAGGACAAACTTGCTGGATCGCGATTTGGGCAGAATCAGCACAAAATACAAGGGGATAAACTTGGGCACATTTTGAGCACACCTTCACAGATCAATTGTGGCGTGGAATGGACGGCAAGCCGAAACAATTCCTAAGGAACAACGACTTGTGCATTCAAACCCGCAGCTCCATAGTTTATGAACGCAGATGAGTGTTCAAGAAAACAATACTTGCTTGCATCATCTTCCAGGATCCTCGGGGATTTGCAAATACCCTGGCATATTATTGTGACAGAAAAAAGCTGGCTGTTACGCGCACCAGCCTGATGTGGGAGACGTCCTACTAATGGCCCTTGGTGTGGGGG